TTTCTTCCTAAACATTTCAGGTGAAGGTAAAGGTTGAACCACTAGCCTTTGCTATTAAGTCAAAGGAATGGAGGTTATGCTGTTACCATTTGGCCCTGGCCTGTGCTTTTGACACATAGGATGTATCATGAAGCTGTCAGCTTCAAAAACCTGTGCATTGATGGAGATTTCTTCATTTGAAGCATTGATTCTTTTTATATCTTGAACCACAAGGACACAAGGACCTATTGTCAGCTGGGCAAACCCATAAGGATTGTGTCTCTTTCAAGGCCTGGTTCAAATGCTACTGCTTCCCTCCAGAAGGGATCAGACGGTGGAAGAGAGAGCTAAAATGGTTACTGGGAAATTGAAATCATCGTAGTGCACATGGTTCTTAGGTCAGTTTATTTAGCCCTAATGTCTCTCTTGAAGTACTATCTTGCACTTCAAATTGCCTCTTGGACATCTTTCATTGGATGGCCCACAGAAGTCCTAAACTCAACAAACTGAACTTATCCTTCCCCCTCAAACCTACCTTTCTTCCTAACTTCCATAATAATAGTAATAGTGAACATTTATATAGTGCTTACTATGTGCCAAGCACTATGACTGGTGCTTTACAGTTATCTCATTTGGTCTTCACTACAACCCTGGGAGGCAGGTGCTTTTATTATCTCTATTTTACAGATAAGGAAACTGAAGCAAACAGAGGTTAAGTGACTTGCCCAGGCTCACACTTCTAGTAAGTGTCTGAGGACACATTTGAATTCAGGTCTATTACTGTTGAGGCCACCCAGGCTTGCAATCTAGTTATCTTTACAACCTAGATGTCATCCTGGAATCCTCACTCTTTCACACCACCCTCATTCAGTCTGTTACTAAGTCCTATCAATGCTACCTTTGTAACTTCTGTCACATATGCCCCCTTCTCTGTGCTGACACCATCCTGGTATAGGCTCTCAACAGCTCATACCTGGATTATTGTAATGGTTTCTTTGTCTCAAGTCACTCTTCATTCCATTTGTCCTCCAGGCAGCTCTCAAAGTGATCTTCCTAAAGCAAAGAGCTGACCATATCACTCCCCTGTTGTGTCAACTCCATTGGTACTACCAGGATCAAATATAAAATCCTCTATTTGAATTTTCAAACCCTCATAACCTGTATATAGTCCTTACCTTTCCAGTTTTCACATACTTCACTCCCCTTCACATACTCTGTAATCCAATGACAGTAATCTCCTTGTTGTTCCTTGCACAAGATACTCTGACTTCCAACTGTGCTTTTTCACTGGCTGTTCCCCATACTGCCCCTCTTCCCCCTGCCTCCTCTCTTCCTTGACCTTCTTCATTTCTCAGCTAAAATCCCACCTTCTGCAAGAAGCCTTTCCCCCTTACTGCTACTCCCTTCCCTCTGAGATTGCCACCAAGTTATTCAGTAATATATCTTGTTCATACATAGTTTGTATGTTAGATTTTGAGCTCCTTTAGAGTAGAGATTGGTGGCTAGGTGGTGTAGTGGATAGAGCACTGGGCTTGGAATCAGCAATTTCAAATCACTGAGTTCAAATCTGACCTCACAAACTTACTAGCTGTGTGAGCCTGGGCAAGTCACTTTAACCCTGTTTGCCTCAGTTCTTCAGATATAAGAGCTGGAGAAAGAAATGGCAAAGCATTCCAAGAAAACTCCAAAATGAGATCATGAAGAGTCGGATATGACTGAACAACTCCAACATAACAACAACAACAGAGTAGGGATTGCCTTTTTCTTTGTATCCCCAGTGCTTAACACAGTACCTGGCATAGAGTAAGTGCTAATACATGCTTGTTGATGACTTGCTGACTTGAAACAGTAGATAAGTGAGAAGCTAGTAAGAGCACCCAGCTTTTCAGTGAATTCTTGTATGAATCATATGAACTGCTTCTCATTGTACTGACTGCATTAGCAGGTATGATTTCTGAGCCTTTATCAATGATCTTTAAAAAGTTATTGAAAGCAAAAGAGGTACTGTATCACTAGAAGATGTTTTATCCTAATTTTCCAAAAAAAAGAAGAGGTTAGTCTCCAAATTATAGGCAAATATCTTTACTTTGATTCTTTGTAAAATCATAGGTTGAATTTTTAAGGCAGTGATTATTTAGAAAGAGAAGTAGTGTTCACCAAGAACAAGCATGATTTCATGAATGATATGTAATCCAAAGCAAATCTCATTTTTTACCTTGTTCATCTTAAGGTGATGATCAAGAGAGTGCTACGGACAGAGTGTACTTAGGTTTTAGTCAAGCAGTTGAGAAAGTCTCTAGGGCTAACCTTGTAAATAAGGAGATTGTAGTAGATTACAAGCTTACTATGAATCAGCAGTGTGATTATCTAGACTAGCAGCCCCTAGAATAGCTATGGAGATCTTGGGCTGCGTTAAGAAGGTTAGAAGTTCTAGGAATAAAGAGGTGGTAATCTCATTGGAGTCTTGTGAGACCTTACCTAGTGTTGTGTTCACTTCTAGAGCTATTGAGGTCACATAGTAAGAGGATATAGATAAAGAAGAGGAGGGTCCAAGACAGCTTTGATTTATATCCACAGTTGGTGCGTGTTTGCATTATGAACCAGGGAAGCACACAACCTTCCATCTTTTGCCATTGAGGCTTTATACCAACCATGTCCCAGGTGGGAATGCTTTCACTCCTCACTTATGCTTCTTGACACGCTAGCCTCCTTTTAAGGTTAAGGTTAATAGGTATCTCCTTTGGAGCTTTTTCCCAATTTCCCCATTTTTTCTCCTTTCTTCACCTTCCCTCCCATTGTGCCCCTTTTGCCTCCCCCGAACTTCACTGAAACTCCCCTCCTTCCAGTTCACGTGTATTTGTTTTATATGTACTTTGGATGTACTTATCTGCGAACATACTGTGTTCCACTAATGGAATGCAAACATTTTTTTTTTTGTGGGCAGGGACTCTTTAACTTTTGTATTTGTATCTGTAGCACTTAGCATGGTGCCTAGAACAGAGAAGGCATTTAATAAATACTTAGTGTTGATTTCTGCTACTATTATTATATTTTGTCTGTTCTTGTATCATTGTTAACTTTTCTTTTATGAACTTTAACAAACTTAATGAAAACAAACGTTAAAATAGTTTCATTTAAAATAAGAATTTTTAAATGTGACTCACTTTTTCATTCACCACTATGTAATATTCCTGTCTCTTTGTAGACTGAAACCCACTTTATCAGATACCATTACTTCCATTTCTGCTTTTTTGTATCATCCTTGTATGATATATTTTATACCAGTGTCTTCATTTTAATCTATCTATATTCTTTTTGTAAAAAAAAAATTAAATTCAGAATGTTTATTGGTTTTGTATGTGCCTCTCTGACAGTTCCTTGGTGTCCTCTATTTATTTTTCATCCATCTTCCATTACGTGAACATAGAGTGTTCCCAAAGGCACAGTTTTGGAATTTCTTCTCTCCCTATACTCTTTCCCTTGGTTATTTCATATGCTTCTATTAGTTCAATGATCACTTTTATGCTGATGATTCAGAAATCTATATAATCAAACTCAGTCTTTCTTCTTAAATCCAGTCTCACATCTTCAACTGTTTATGGAGCAGCTCCAACTGAATATCCTGTTGGTATTTCAAACTTAACATTTCCAAAATGGAACTCATCACGGAACTCATCACTCTCTACTCCTGCCATCCTCCCTGTCTCTTTACACCACAGTTCTCTCATGCAGGTTTGAAGGTCCTCTAGTGTAGTTATGCAGGCTTGAGTCATTTTAATATTACCTCTCTCAATCAGCTGTCACGTCTATCAATTCTACCACTACAGTAGGTCCCACATATGTTCCAATTTCTTTAATCCCGTTGTTATGATAAAAGTTTGACCCTCATTATGTCTTGCCTAGGAAGTTATAATAGATTTTCTCCTCTATAGTATATCTTTCACATTGTTGCCAAAATAATTTTAAGGATCACTTTTGCCTCATGATACAGTAAAAATTCTTTGTTGATATTTGAGGCTAGCCACAAGAGCTCTAATCAGGAATCTTTACATTCAAGGCAAGCTGTACAAAGCATGCCCTCGGGTGTGGGTGAAGAGGATAGATGGGAGACATGGCAGAGATTCTGGGACATTGATTCTGGGTTCATGCTGGAGCTCAAGGAACTTACCCTGGCCTGTCAGATTGTGGCTTTCCATTGTAACTTATTATCCTTACCTACTAGATGCCAAGCTTTGTTGTTTCTATTCTGATAAATGGCCACAAGTATTGTTGGTACCCTTTAAATCTGACACCCTTGTACAAAACTCTGGTCTTTCTGACCTAGTGATAGCTCAGAGCTTTAGTATAATGTTTCCAGCCTAGTTTCATGGTATTCTCCTTTTCCCACTCCACATTCCAGTAAGATTGGACTTTTCTCTCTTCCTTGAATTCTCATGCTCAGTTGTTACATTTGCTTTAGCTGTTCCATATTTCTGGTATGCACTTCCTTATGATTTCTGCCTTTCAGGGCTCATTTTAGATGCTGCCTCCTTTGCTGAACCTTGCTTGTTTCTTCTAGGCGTTGACATCCTCTCCCTTCTCGAATATTCCTTGAACATTTCTTTTATCTTCCTCTTGTATTGTATTTATCATTGTGTAAGCTCTTTCCCCTCTAGTAGAACTGAGCTTACAAGAATACATGACTATTTCTTTGTACGTAGTAATTAGGTAATAAATCTTCATTAAATACCAATCAAATTTAATTCTAGAAGTTTAGGATTAAAGTATATGATTCTCTTGAGCCTCATGTTGAGAGCTGATTTGTATATATATACAAATATATATATTTGCATATATATATAATGTATATATTATATATATATACACACTCACAATACCATTTTCCCTAATAAATACTTGATATGGGGTATTCAAAACCTTCAAAGCTATCATAACCACCCCATAGATATCCTTTCAATTCTGTGTTTCCATGTGAGATAGTGATAACTGGTGGCTGAGTTAGAGTGTATTTGTTGTTTCAGAGATTAGTGACATTCAAGGATGTGGCTGTGAACTTCACTCGGGAGGAATGGGGGCAACTGGATCCTTCTCAGAGGGACTTGTACAGGGATGTGATGTTGGAGAACTATGGGAACCTTGTGTCCATTGGTAAGGATAGCTTTCCCCTGACTGAGAACCTTTCATTTTTATTTCCTGAAAGTCTTTTGTGTGTCTAAAGTGCTTGCCCAAGTTAAAATATTTAGTAATATTCAAGAATACATGGATCCTGGGATAACTTCTAAATCCATTATGACTGAGAGTGTTTCTTCCTCCTATTTCCAGATGAAATAGCTTTGCTCCACACAGCTAAAGATTAGCAACAACTTCACTGTGCTGGGCCCTGAGGCTACACCTTACTTGCTTTCTGTTTGCCCAGGCCAGAGATCCTTTAATATTCTAGGATGGATCCTAGTCTCTTGGCGTAGAGAAGGTCAGATGAAATTTCTTTCTGAACTTCCGTTAACTCTGACAATCTCCCTATACTTTCTGGGAAACAAATATAGAGAAACCTTCAGAGGTTTTTTTGATATTATGCTCATATGTACTCTTTTCCCTTAAGAGAAAGGATGTCAGGTTTGCATTCTGAGATGGCTGTCTGTCCACAACATTTTCCCACTTCTACCCCATGAGCAGGACTTCCAGTTTCTAAACCAGATGTGATCTCCCAGTTGGAAAGAGGAAATGCACCTTGGATGTCAGAGGAAGAATTCTCAAGAAGCACTCGTCTAGGTGAGTGATTGATGGTCATGCAGAAAAAAGTAAGCAGCCACTCAGTTTGTTGGTCATGGGCCAGCACCTTTGGAATTTTGGACATAGACCTCCTCAGAGGGCCTCAGGCCTGTGGGTAAGATCTAGAGCCATCTAGCATGAATTCCCTCTTGTTTACTCCTCTTTCACTTTGCTGATACCTGTTAACTCCTCTCATATTTCCTTGTCTTAGAAAAAGGTTTCTGTTTTTTGTTTTGTTAATTTAAAATATAAAATAATCTAACAACATCAACATCAACAAAAATAAAATTTGGATATACAGTGAATAAGGATTATATATTACTTGGCAAACTTCCATTATATTTTATTTAAAGACGTATATATCACCTTTAACAATATAAAAATAAAAATGTGCCATTTACTTTTGTAATGTAAATTTATTTTTGTAAAAAACATGCCATTTCCTTTTGTGTCTACTTCTGAACTGTCTTATGTGTATTTTTTGGTTGCTGTTGCTGTTATTGACAATATATAGAAGACCTTCCTCTTGCTTTTTTTTGCATTCAGGGCAACCAGCTTAACTACTCAGGTTGTCCATTAGTTACCCTTGTTCTCATTACATGAATGAGCAACCTTTTTTCCATTTGCACATTTCTAGAATGATGCTCTTTAAGTCATTTCTTCCACATAGATCATCATTGGAAATACACTACAACTAACTTATGCCCATCATGCATCTTTCCGTTGCCTTTGCTTTGATTGTTTATATACTGTGGTGTTCTAAGACTCACAACATAATCAGAACCCTTTCCCCCAATCCCTTCCCCCCAAATTGATATAAAAACATGTGTTTTTAAGTAAGGAAGCACCTTAGGATTCATAAAAGCATGATAGTCCACTTTCATTCGATTTTTGGCCCCACTTATTGTCCTTACTAGACCTATATATATATATACTGATATGCTTAATAATTCTTTGGACTAGCCATTCAACTGCTAGTCGTTGTGGCCAATAGGCATTTTTCATTCATTTTTATGCCTCTGGCCCAATCCCTTATGGATTATTGGGCCAGTATCTTTTGAGTAGTCATGGATATCATTGAAGAGACTTTGTAGTGTTCTTCGGCTTGTGATTAAAGCACCAAAATATCATTTACAAATAGAAATATTTAGGAGACCTCATTATCTGTAGAGAATTCCTTCTCCATTTAGACTCTGTATAAGACATCCTACACGGCAATGTCACACACGTTAGAATTCATAATGATTGCTATCTTCATAACATTGAAGTCTGAAATTCCTCTCTCAGTCCATAGTGTTCTATGCATGCTTCTACCCTTTCTACCTTACTCTTCCTAAATGTTCCTTTTGTCTTAACTGTGGTATCTAGTATTTCCACTTTCACTGTTATCTCATTCCCTAACTCCTACTCCGGATTCATTTGACTTATTTCATTTGTGACCCCATGTTGAACAATTCAACTGTACATTACCATCTATATCTGAATCCCTTTCCCCCTTGTTTTGTCATCATTCATATTATCTCAGATCTCATCCTCAGTTTATCTTTATCATTTGCCTTTTTTATTCTTGTTCTTCTGCTGAATGCTTATGGAAAATGTAACAACAATGTCAACTTGATGTTTATACCAAATTTATGATATAACTTCATCTGGGCCCTCAGTTATTGTTGTTGTTCAGTCGTTTTTCAGTCATGTACGACTCTTTATGATCCCATTTGGGATTTTCTTGGCAAAGATGCTGGAGTGGTTTTCCATTTCCTTCTCTAGTGGGCCCTCTGCAAGGCAGTTGTTTTACTCTTTCTTTGCTGGTAATCTATCTCCCTTCATTCAGTGGCTATTCAATCTACTTTTCTCTCTCAGTGCTATTCCTGACCCCCTTTGTCTTGGCAGATTTCCTATCTTTCTGCTTTGCTTAGAGAATGGAAGACTTCTATTCTGAGTTCTTTCATCTCTACTACTTCATAACTCAAAACTTTTCCTGAGTCTCCAATCCTTCCACTTGTGTCCTTGATTCCCATGACCTCCTGTGTCCTTCAGGGGTACTCTCCCTCCATCATTCTAGCTCTTTTATTTTCAGTCTCTCTATGTACTTCTCCTCTGCCTATACACATTCTAAAATCTTCCCCATCCTTATTAAATTTTTACTTTAACCTCATACCCTCTCAAACTATTGTATGTTTTCTTTTATTTCATTGTCAAACTTGTACAAAAAATTATCAATACTATCTGCATCTGTTTCTTCACCACCCACTCATTTCTCAGTCTTTTGCATTCTAGTGGCATCTGGTCCCCAAACTCTACTGACACTTGCCTCTCAAAGGTTTCCAGGATTCTAGAATGTCAGCTGTCAGAACTTTTCCTCTGTCCTATCCATAACCACCTTGACCTGTCTTCAACTTTTTGACACTTTTTACCATTCTCTCCTGCAAATTTTCTCAGTTTTGCCATCTTTGAGACTATTCTTTCCTTTCTTACTGCTTCGAGTCTTCTTGCTTCTCGGTGTCTTTTACCGAGAGTCCCACAGGGACTTGTCTTTCTGAATTCCCTTCCTCAGTGATCCCATGGATTCAAGTAACAGCTCTAAGCAGCTGAGTCCCAGATCTCTATATCCAGTCTTGATCTCTTTCTTAACTTCCAGTTATCTTGTGGACAGACTGGAAATGAATATAGTACCCCAGATGTAGTCCAAATAGGGCAGAGCAGGTGGGACTGTCAAATCCCTCGGGCTGATTTTTAAACTCGAGCATAGTAGTTGACATTTGTCCCTATTTAATTGAATCTTACTGAGATTTGCTTTAGTGCTTTCAGTGCCTGTCAAAATCTTTTTGAGTCCTGGCTCTGTTATCCTTTCAGGTTTTATTTAGTAAGCATGTCATCCATACTCTGATCTAAAACATGATAAAATTTTTAGACTACATTGAGTCAAGAAGAAGTGACTGAGACATTCCAATGGAGATCTTGCTTCAAACTGATAATTCTTCATTCCTGACTATTCTTTGAATGTGGCCATCTCACCAGTCCTAAATTCACTTAACGGTACTATTTTCTGTGCTGTATCTCCCAAAATAGATAATCTCATACTTTGAAGAGACTTCGGAGGCTAGCTGTGTGGTGTAGTTTATAGAGCACTGGGCTTGGGAGTCAAGAAGTCCTGAATTCAAATCTGGCCTCAGACACTGCTTCTGTTTCAGTTGCTTCATCTATAAAATGAGAAGGGTAGTAACACCTACCTTCCAGCGTTGTTGTGAAGATAAAATGAGACAGTATTTATAAAGATCTTTGTAAACCTAAAACATTATATAGATGCTATCTAAAATCATCATCTTCATCATCATTACTTCTGCTGCTACTACTACTACCTCTGTCACTACTACTTCTACTACTACTGCTACCCAAGTAAGAATACCCTTTCTAGCATATCTGATAGTCGTCTGGTCCTTGCTTTAAGAATTCCATTTGGGTCCATTAAAAATTATGTGGGCAGCTAGGTGGCGCAGTGGATAGAATACCAGCCATGGAGTCAGGAGGACGTGAGTTCAACTCCTGCCTCAGACATACAACACTTACTAGCTGTGTGACCCTGGGCAAGTCACTTAACCCCCATTGCCTCACCAAAAAACAAACCAACAAACAAAAATTATGTGAGAGCAGTCAATTGCTTTGCTTTATAAAAATCTAGCTAAACTAGATCTCTAACATTCCACTTATGTATCAGTTTACTAACCCTCTCCAAAAAGGAAGTGAGATTAGTTTGACATGATGTATTCTTGGTAAACTCAGGCTTCATGTTTGTGAACATTTCTTCCCTTTCCAGATGTTCGATAACCATTAGGTAATAAATTCTAGGATTTTGTCAAGAATCTAAGTTAAATTTAGTTGCCTGTAGTATACAATGTAGGATTTTACAGTTCTTTATTTTGGGGCAAATTGGGACAAAAATTACTCTTCTGCAGACCTGTAGATTCTTTACTCTTCTCTATGAGCTTTGCCTTAGTCATATCTGCCAATTCTTTTAGTATCCTGAGATACTGGAGAACAATCCTTGCCATCAAAATTATTAGAATGAAGTCCTCAGTCTTATGTCAGCTGAGTTGATAACTCTTTAACAAATATCTGTTGGAAATTGCCTGCTCGACACCCTTAATTGAGGTCTTCTGAATATCCATTTATTTCTAACAGATTTCCTGCCTTTCCTTGTATGATGAAGCCAACTTATTCAGCCATCTTTGTATAGCATTAATCAATTCCCTTCTAAAGTCTCAGTGCAAAGAGCAGCAGAGCAGAGCAGAAGTTTGTGAATTGGAATCTAACAGAATGAAATTAATGGCTTTTTTGCACTTCACTCTCCCCTTGCGTCAGTTTTTAAAAGCAAGTCTTCCAGATCCAATGCTATTCTTTTCCTGAAGGCTCTTGCCACTTAGAATTATATTAAATCTTCTTTCTTTCCAAGATAAGGATAACTTGACCAACTAATTTTTCAGACTGATCACCATCCTCCTTTATAAAGAAAAGAGAATCTAGGACCTACTGTAAAGCAGTTTGCTTTCTTCAGCACAAAGGAAGGGTGAATATTGACACTTTTTCATTCTTTCAGATTCTCTTAGTCAAGAGCCTAGGTGTGAAATCCAGAAGTCATCTCCAATGAAGGGCTCTTGTACAGGAGTATCATCTAAGAAAATACTCACAAAAGATGTCCCCTGGGATTCCAAGGTGGGAGAAGCTTGGGAATGTGATATCAGGTTAGAAAGGCAGAAGGGCAACCAGGAGCAACAAGTCAGACAAATAACAATCACTCACAGAAAAGCCTTGAATAAACTGAGAATGCACAAATATAATACATTCCAGAAAAGTTTCAGGTCCAAGTCCAGCTTTGTTCCAAAACAGAGATCCTACAGGGAAAAGCCCTCATAAATTTGGTATACTTCAACAGAGATTCAAACAGTTTTCAGACCTAACTAAACATAATAGGTGCTTTTCAGGGAAAAACCTTTGTAAGTCTA